GCTGTGGGAGTGACCTCTCCCGCTTTGTCCCCGCAGCCGGGAGCAGCCCCTTGGACAGCCCACGCAACTTCTCCGCCAGCACCTCCATCAACTTCCCCTTCGCTCGCAGGTGAGCTCCCAGACCCCCTTGTTATTAATTATGATTATTTGTTAATAATCATTATGAATTATTGAATAGGGAATAATTATAGTGAATAATTATAGTAAATATAGTGAATATATAGAATATAAATATACTGAATAATAATTATTATTCCCTAATAATATAATTATTCACTAATAATTATTATTCACTAATAAATTCACCAGCTGGGACTATTCTGTTGATCTCAAGTGATTTGTTTTGATTTTTTTTTTCCTTTCTTTTTTTGTCTCCTGGATTTTTGATCCGGTGGCGTTTGCCCTGCGGTGCCCGGTGCCTCCCACTCCCCCAGCCATGCTCCTCGGACTGACAGGCAAGTACTGGGAACGGGCTGGGGCTGCGTTCGGGGTGGGATTGCTCTGGGACCAGGCTCCCTGCAGCTCTGGGAGCAGAAATATCCCTATTTCCATCACACCGTCCCGGCCACGAGCTCAGCACCAGCGCAGACCCGCTCCCAATGGATGCGGGGATGGATGCTCGGCCACGTCCCCGCCGAGGCGGATCTTGCTGCAGCCCCTGCCCAGCCTGGCTGCTCCAGAGATGCCAAAATCCTGTTTAAGTAATTAATTAATTGTGCACATGGAAACAAACGGCTGATTTTAACCCATCGATCGTCACATGGAAAAAAGCTGGAGGCTTACAGATGGTTTTCACGCTTGTAAAGGAGCGAAAAGCCGAACTGTGGGGCCGGGGGTTTGGGAGCCTGCACGCGGTGGGGCCGGTGCCGGATCCGGCACCGTGCCAGCTCCTGCCGGCCTTGGCCTCACATGGGAAACGGCGACGGGAGGCGAAGGGCCTCGTCTTGACCTGGACGTTGCCCCATCCATTAGAAACATTTCCGAGAGGAAGCGTTCGCCTACGGATGAGCCGTCGCCTTCCTGTTTATCAGCAGGCTCTGCTCCGCGGCGCCTGCGTCCTGGGATGAGCCTTTGGGAATCCCCGTTTCTCATAGAACTGAGTCCCAAAAGGCTGAATTTTGCTCTAATTAAAAATCAGATTCTTACAGGGGTGATTTTTTTTTTCCCCCTCCGTCTGAATCGGATCCGGTGCCCGGCCGAGCCCCGGTGCTGTCACTGTCCCCATGGATACCTGCATGGAGGGTTATGGAACAGCCCCCCTCTCCTCCAAACCCCTCTTATGTCACCCAATTTCAATCCATTCTGAAAAGCTGTTTCAGGGCTTTATTATCCCAGCCAAACCTGCATCCTCCTCCCCATCCGTATCGCTCCGACGTGATTTATTGCCACTCAGATGTTGGTTTTCCCCCTGATTGTCCCCTTTGCTCGTGCAGGGCTGATGGCAGAAGGTGGTCACTGGCTTCGCTACCCTCCTCCGGCTACGGGACCAACACCCCCAGCTCCACTGTCTCGGTAACGTTCGCTTTCTCGTGGCAGCAGGCAAGAAAAAACCTCTAAACCCTTGGGTTTTGGTGAAACGCTCGCCGAGCCCTGCGGCGCCGGGTGCTGGGCAGCCCCTTCCTGGAGGACCGAGTGCTTTGGCTGCACCGCGCTGTCCCGATGTGCCTTTAAGAAAACTATAGAGCTCGGCGAGTGGCTCACAGCGTCCCCGGGGGGTCTCGGTGTCCCCAGGGCTCTCAGCATCCCTGGGAACCACAGCATCCCATCCCCAGGGGTCACAGTGTACCTGGGAGTCTCAGCATCCCATCCCTGGGGGTCTCAGCATCCCATCCCTGGGAGTTCTCAGCATCCCATCCCTGGGGGGTCTCAGCATCCCATCCCTGGGAGGTCTCAGCATCTCATCCTTGGGGGTCACAGCATCCCTGCGTGTCACAGGTCGAGCACACGGGGCCCATCCTGACCACACGGGGGAATGGCCAGGCAGGAACTGCCCGGGATGCTGCGGGTACAAGGGATGGGGCTCAGTGGAGCTGGACTGAGCGGGAGAGTGGGGGGTGGTTTGGGGTGGGAGTGGGCAGCACAGACCTCCTGGGCCGGCCTTGCCGTCTGTATTTCCCATGATGGAGCGCAGAGTGTGCTGCCCATCAACGCTGCCAGCCTCCAAAGAGGCTCCAAGGAATATTTCCCTCACGGGTTTGCTGGTTTCCACCCCAGTGCTGGGAAACACGGATCCGTCTCCTGACGCCTGGCATCTCTCTTCCTTTCCAGTCGTCTTCATCCTCCCAGGAGCGCCTGCACCAGCTGCCGTACCAGCCCACCCCCGACGAGCTCCATTTCCTTTCTAAGCATTTCCGCAGTACGGAAAGCGTCACGGATGAGGAGGGGCGGCACTCGCCCTGCCTGCGCCCACGATCCCGGAGCCTCAGGTACAGCACCCACCGTGGGGAGCATCCACGGTGCTGCCAGGATGATGGCACCGGGTACCGGCGCATCCAGCGCATCCTCTGCCCTCTCATGAGCTGTTCCTGGGGCGTCCTGGTCCTGCTAAGCCCATTCCGTGGTGTTGACCCCCATGTGGGTTTTCCCCTGGCAGGGGAGCAGAGAAGCTACAGCTTGAGGTTGTAGATGCCCCATCCCTGGAAAGGTTCAAGGTAAGGTTGGACGGGGCTCTGAGCAACCTCTGGTTGACGTTGTCCCTGCTCATGGCGGGGAGTTGGGTCTAGATGACCTTTAAAGGTTCCTTCCAACCCAAGCCGTTCCATGATCCTATGATCCCTGGAAGTGTTCAAGGCCAGGTTGGATGAGGCTTTGAGCAACCTGATCTAGTGGAAGGTGTCCCTGCCCATGGCAGAGGAGTTGGAATGAGATGATCTTTGAAGTCCCTTCCAACCCAAATCATTCCATGAGTCTATGACTCTATGATCCTAAGCGCCATGATGATCTGGTTCTCAGCATCTCCTCGGCTGTTGGGATGTGGCATTGCTCTCCTGGCAGCAGACAACGCCTGAGAGTGAGATTTCCTGGGGCTGAAGCTGGAGAAAGTGGGATTTGTTCCAAAATAGTTGGTTTGCAGCTTCCTGCTCGATTGTCTCAAAGGTTTCGGTGGAGAGGAGGTGACCAACGAGCAGAAGCCCAAGCCATGGCCTGACCTGCTGTTAAATGGTTAAAAATGGTTAAAAATCCCATTTCTGGGCTTGGATTGGGGAACAACACCTGTGTTTGCTGGGGCTGAGGATCAGCCTGGCCTTTGCCTCTGCAAAAAAATCAAGGAGCGGAGGTGGACGGGCATTTGCAGGCCGGAGAGAGGAAAATTTGGAGAGAGCATCGAGGCGGTGGCCATAGTGTCGTGTGCCTGACCCTACGGACCTGCCAAGCTGCACGTTGTTGCTCCACGACTGTGTCCTGGGCAAGGAGCCGGTCACGTTTCCACTTGCCCAGCACTGGGAGCTTGTGCTTTTTGCAGGGGATGTTTTGGTTAAATCCTCTTTTCCTCGGAAAAAGCTCCCGCCCCTCTTTGCGCCAGAGGCAGAGCCGTAGCCCTGCGTGTTGCCGGCTGAAATTTTATTAAAATCAGATTAATTATCTGGCAAGGGTCTTGCAGGTGGTGAGGTTTTCACCGAGGAGATGCCAGCTCCGTGGTCGGCACGGCATGGCACGGCAAAGGCTGAGCTGGGGGTGGGCTGGGCCGACGGCGAGCGGCTCGGGTCTGGTTTTAATTACCGCGTTTATTAGAGAGCGGCTAACGAGCTGTTGGCTGCTCCTGCGACTCGCTTTGCATAAAGGCATCACCAGGCAGGGACAATGGTGGGAAGGTCCCTGCGTCCACCCCGGGAGTTTGGTTGGGTTTTTTTTTGGCTGATGAGCTGGAAAAAGGGCAACGATGGCAAGAAATTGCAGGATCCAGAGGGAAGGAAAGGATGAGGTCACGCTCCAAAGCCAAGTGACTGATGCACCAACCTCTCAGCTCCGGATTTTCAAGTGACTTGAGTTTGGAGACTTGGCTTTGCGGGAGGTTAACCGTCGCTGGAGCGGGTCCCAGGGACCTGCAGACCCACGCACAGTGGGAGGGATGCTGCTGGAAGTGCTGGCCCAAGGCTGACGGCTCTGCTTGGATGAGCTTTAACCGCTTGGGATTGGGAGTTAGGAGGAGGGAACAAATTGCTCTCCAGGGGCAGTAGCTATTTGCATAGATGTAAATGACTTGGACCTCATAACCCAACTGCCTTCCTCCCTCCACAGCCCTGGACGGACGAGTGGAACGTTTGATAATGAGGTTGTGATGATGAACCATGTCTACAAGGAGCGGTTCCCCAAGGTAACTGCTGGGACCAGGGAGGACGAGCACGTTAGTCCCTCTGTGGCATCCTGATAGCATCTTCTCCAGAACAACCTCTTCTCTGTGCTGGAAGATAGAATGCATGGGTAGATACTGGGGAGGGGTGTTGAGGACACTGGAAACGTGGTAACATGTGGGTCTGCATCATCACACACGCAGGCAGTGGTCTCTGGAGACTTTGGTGGAGCTTTTCCAGCCTGCTGGAAGTTGGGTCCCAGGTGGGGCCATGATGTGCACGTGGATGTTGGAGCTGCAGGAGGTGGTAGCATGAGATCTGGGCAGGCCAAACTCAACTTATGGTATGGGGTACGTGTTTCTGGGCATCACCATCCATTCCACCTTGCAGGCCACGGCCCAAATGGAAGAACGTCTGCAGGACACCATCACAAACTTCTCCCCGAGCAGCACTCTGCCACTGGCAGACGGGGTGCTGGGCTTCATCCACCACCAAATCATCGAGCTGGCCCGCGACTGCCTGGCAAAGTCACAGGGAGCTCTCATCACCTCCCGTTACTTCATGGAGCTGCAGGAGAAACTCGAGAAGATGCTCCGAGATGTGAGTACGGGGTAGTTCCATGCCCAGTGTCATCTTCTGAGGCCACCGATAGATGGCTGGCTTTTGTCTCCTCTTCGGCAGGCTCAGGAGCGTTCGGAGAGCGAGGAGGTGAAGTTCATTGACCAACTGGTGAGGAAGCTGCTGATCATCATCTCCCGTCCTGCTCGTCTTCTGGAGTGCCTGGTAAGACATGGCAGCTCCTGATGTGTCTTGTCTTTCATGGTCCTCTGCTCCTCACCATCCTGGCCAGGCTGTAGCAAGGAGCTAAGACCATTCCTAGCATTAAAAACCATTTCTCAGAGAGGAGAAGCTGGTTTTTCCTAGCAGAATAGGGAGATGTGAACTTCTTGGCCAGCTTTCTCATCCATTTTCAGGTTGTTTTTTTTCTTTTTCACCTGTTGTGCTGAATTTCTAAAACCTTCATGCTGTGGTTTCTGCAGCTGGAAGGAGCTCATGGGGTCTTATTTTTTTTCCATCAACCCTTTAGAATCTTGGAATGGTTTAGGTTGGAAGAGACCTTAAAGATCATCCAGTTCCAACCCCCCTGCCATGGGCAGGGACACCCTCCACTACACCAGGTTGCCCAAAGCCTCATCCAGCCTGGCCTTGAACACTTCCAGGGATGGGGCAGCCACAGCTTCTCTGGGCAACCTGGTCCAGTGTCTCACCACTCTCAGAGGGAAGAATTTCTGCCTTAGATCTCATCGAAATCTCCCCTCTTTCAGTTTAAAGCCATTGCCTCGTGTCCTGTCACTCCATGCCCTTGTCCAAAGCCCCTCTCCAGCTTTCCTGTAGCCCCTTTAGGCACTGGAAGGCTGCTGGAAGGTCTCCCTGGAGCCTTCTCCAGGCTGAACAGCCCCAACTCTCTCAGCCTGTCTTCATAGCAGAGGTGCTCCAGCCCTCAGAGCATCGTCTTCGTGGCCCTTTACATTGAGAACAGTGGGGGAATGATGGTAGAAACAGGAGCAGAGCTTTAACTTTCTCCTGCAAGCACCCAGGGCTTGTCCTCAATGACAGGTGTCACCTGTGAGGCTTAGAGGAAAGGCTTAACTTTGCAAAGTCTTGCTCCTCAACTGTTCTTGGCTTTTCCCCTGTCCAGGAGTTTGACCCAGAGGAGTTTTACCATCTCCTGGAAGCTGCAGAGGGACATGCCAAAGTTGGCCAGGGCATAAAGACCGATATTCCCCGATACATCATCAGCCAACTGGGGCTTGTCAAGGACCCGCTGGAGGGTAAGGAAGAGCTTGGGTTGGTGGCCCTGAGGTCTGCAGTGGGATGTGGACTCCCAGTTTGGCCACTGGCAAGCGTGAACAAGTGCATGGAGGTGGCATGGGGAGAGGCAGGGTTGAGTTGGTGTCATGGAGTGGGTCACAGCAGGACCAGGGCAGCATCCAAGTCTCCTGGCCAGCCCCACATCCCTCGTTATTGCTCCCAACACGTTCAGCAAAGCAGATTAAGTTCAAGAACGCTTAATCCATAGGAAACCATGGCCTTGGCGGGGGGAACCATAATCCCCGAAGAACACGGGAATTACTATGGAAAAAAGAATTATGTAAATGTTTAACCTTGTGCTGAACCTCTTAACGCGATGACCTGGATTTCTCCTTGTGATGGCTCGGGCAAAGCGTGTAGCTAAATCCCCATGGGATCTCCGAGTTTGGAGGGAGAGTGGTTGGTGGGGGGTTGTTTTGGTGGGGGTTGAGCATGAAGAAGGTGAAAACCATCCCTGTGTTCTGCAGAAATGGTCCAGCTGGATCACTTTGACAGCGGGAACACCATCACGCCGGAGAACGATGATGCCTGTGAGGTGAGCGCGGTCCTTCCTGCGTGTCCCACCTGCTGCCTCCAGCTTCGTCCTGCCTCACCCCACACTGAAGCTCCTTGCAGCAGCTCCTCTCCTGTCCTAGGCTGGGAGACATTAATTTGGGTTGTCTCCGAGGGTGACTTCTGTATTCAGGCGTAATATCTCACAGTCCCTCATCTGGCTTCTTGAGTGGGTGGAGCTCAAGTCGGCTCTTGATCCGCAGAGCATCTTGGTCTTGTGGTTTGGGGTTTGTGGCTGGAGAGGGCTCAGGGAGGAATGTCCTCTGGCAGTGAGGAGCACTCAGAGGTGATACATGATGGTGCTCGGGGAATTCCTGCCTGCACTCAGAGCTCCAGCACGCTGGGAAACGTTAAAAACCTTCTGTGTCTTCTTCAGAGCCAGCCTTCGGCCACCGCTCCTCGGAGGAAGCCCTGCGAGGGTGACTTTGAGACCATCAAACTGATCAGCAACGGGGCTTACGGGTGAGTTGGGAAGTTCCTAATGCTCATCTCCATCTGTAAACGTCTCCGAAGTCCTCCTCATCCAAGCCCCGCGGCGCTGCGTGGTCGGTCCTGCCGGGTGGAGGATGTGTTCTGAGGTCCAGCCGTTTCGCTCTGTCCTAGGGCCGTGTTCCTGGTGAGGCACAGGGAGACGCGGCAGCGCTTCGCCTTGAAGAAAATCAACAAGCAGAACCTCATCCTGAGGAACCAGATCCAGCAGGTGTTCGTGGAGAGGGACATCCTCACCTTTGCGGAGAACCCCTTCGTGGTCAGCATGTTCTGCTCCTTCGAGACGAAGCGACACCTCTGCATGGTGATGGAGTACGTGGAAGGTGAGAACAGGACTCAAGGCTGGAGGGAGGCGGGAACATCAATGTCTGAGCATCAAGGACACCACCCAGACATCTCCTGCCCTGCTGTGCTCCAGGGAGCGGAGGGAAGCATGAGGAGATGCTTCGGCGATCCTGAGTCTCACCTTGATGAAGGTGGTGGCCATGCTCACCCTCATGCCCAGGGATCAACGCTGCTCTGAGGAGGGATGGGAGGGTCTAGGTGGGAGCCTGGTTGGCAGGAGAGGCAGAATAGCCCTACCTGAGGACCTCCGTGCCTTCTCTGAGCCCCCTGTGCTCAGGAGGACCCATGTCCCCACAGGGGGGGATTGTGCCACGTTGCTGAAGAACATGGGCCCATTGCCTGTCGACATGGCGAAGATGTACTTCGCCGAGACTGTTCTTGCGCTGGAGTATCTGCACAACTACGGCATCGTCCACCGGGACCTCAAACCCGACAAGTGAGGACGTGGGTCAGGTCTGAGCAAGGACGAGGTTGGGTTTGGATGGGGAAGGGAGAGGTACTGATCCAAGCCAAGAGGGTAAGGCAGAATGAGGTCATGGGTTTTGGTGCCCAAAGACCTGGTTCTGTACCATTGCACCTGGACCAGAGGTCCTGGGGTCCAGCTGGTCCTGCCCAGGTTCTCCCCAAAAGCAAATGGCATCATCACGGGGCATCTGTCTTCTCTTCCAGTTTGCTCATCACCTCCATGGGCCACATAAAGCTGACAGACTTTGGTCTGTCAAAGATTGGCTTGATGAACATGACTACAAACCTCTACGAAGGGCATATGGAGAAGGACACTCGGGAGTTCATGGACAAGCAGGTACGAGGTCCTGCTCTGCTTGGCCGCTCTGCCATCACCAGGGCCTCGGGACCCATCACAAAGGGCATCGCAGAGGTGTCAGCCGCTGCTTCCCATGCAGGTCTGCGGCACTCCGGAGTACATCGCCCCAGAAGTCATCCTCATACAGGGCTATGGGAAGCCTGTTGACTGGTGGGCCATGGGCATCATCCTCTACGAGTTCCTGGTGGGCTGCGTCCCCTTCTTCGGAGACACCCCCGAGGAGCTCTTTGGGCAGGTCATCAGCGGTGAGTGTCGGTGGCCCCGTTGCTCCTCGGTTCGCTGTTCCCAGCCAGCCCAGGAGTTGTGGTTTGTCCTTCACGTGTGGACAGCTTTGTTCTTTCATTTCACACCTACTTAATTCTCACCGCCCCCCAACACTCCCTGTCGAGCTTTGTCAGAGCCTCCTTGACCGAGACTCCGTTGAGTGTCGAGGATGCTCCTCAAGCTTCGATTTCCCAGTTTGGGAGATGCTTTCATCTGCTGTGGCTTCTGGAGGACTTTCCTCTTGCCCAGAAGTGACTTCTCCTGCGACCTCACGTCATGTCCAAATTCTCCCAGCCGCTCCAAACTCTTTTTCCTTTTTTTTTTCTTTTTTTTCTCTTTTCTTGCAGATGAAATCATGTGGCCGGAAGGTGATGAGGCTCTTCCCACTGATGCCCAGGACCTGATCACACGTTTGCTGAGACAGAGTCCCCTCGAGCGCTTGGGCACCGGTACGCGTGGCAGCTCCTGTGCAGCGCTCCGGGCCAGGGGTGTCCCAGCACCCCGATTCCGGTCAAGCTCGCGTGGTGCTGAGACCAAAGCGTGTCCTGCTGCGTTGGGGATGCTCGGAGGAGGTCCTCTGCTCGGAGTTCACCCCGAGAAAGTCGCACAGGGCTCCGGACCATCCTGTTTTAAGCCATTGGCTCTGCATGGAGGAGGCACCGTGCCGTTGGGGATGGGAGCGGGAGCATCCCGGATGCTGCCCCGGCTCCCTGACCCGGGATCCTGTGCCTGGCAGGGGGAGCGCATGAGGTGAAGCACCATTCCTTCTTCCTCCACCTGGACTGGAACGGGCTGCTGCGGCAGAAGGCCGAGTTCATCCCGCAGCTGGAGTCAGAGGACGACACCAGTTACTTTGACAGTGAGGCCAAATCCATTTTCTCCCTTTGCCCCATCCCCTTATCCCAGCTGCCGCTTGGATGCTCCCACGGGAGATGAACATCTCCTGGGTCAGATGCGATCCTGCGGCTGAAACTCTCACTGTCGCACCCCAAAAATTCTCTGGGATTTGGGACCAGGCTGCCAGCCACATTACAGCTCCCGGCGCATGTCGGTCGCACCGGGGCAGGCGGCACGCGGTGTGCTGCCGGCGGGTGACAGCGCTGCCTGGTCCGGCCCTTGCTTTCAGCTCGCTTCGAGCCGTT